TTATTTTTATTATTATAATTGTAATTGTAATGATACTCATTATTGATTGTGATTTGCTTTAAAGTGTGGTTCGGGAGGGCCTTGTATCTCAAGACGATGGCTTTGCGATGGTACAGCGGACTGTGAAGATCATTCGGACGAGATGAATTGTACAGATTCTGCGATAAAGAAAGCACATGAAAATGAACAACATCCCCTCACTTGTCATCACGATTATGTTCGCTTTTTGTCATTCATTGCACTTATTTGCTTGCATTTAATCGATAAGCTCTTGGAGATTTTCGAGAAAATGTTCAGATTTATGTGGAGAAGAAAATTTGTGTTGAGTTCATATACTATTTCAGTGAATATGCTGCATAAATAATTGGATTGTTTACGAAAGTTGTACGATTGGATAGAGTAGTGAATGGTTTGAGCATTCGTGAGACGACGAGATAACTTTGAATGAATGCTTTCAGGAATTCAAATGTCGAACGGGTGGGCAGTGTATAAACAGAGCGTGGAAGTGTGACGGTGAGGTGGACTGTGCTGATGGATCGGATGAAGATGACTGTGCGTTTTGATGGAATTTCATTTATTTCGTCATTAAATTGTTCAGATAGATTTTCTTTTTTGATTTTTGTGCTGATCAAAATTGTTGACGAAGCCAACTNGAATGCGTTCGGTTTGTGTGAGAATTTTCGACAGTGTAATCAACAATTTTAATGTATATTTCCATTTTTGTCATTTGTATTTTATTATTGTACAGTGTACAGTTGATGTTTTGTTTGTTTGTTCGTTGGAAATTTTGGTGATATATTGGAATATTTGATCAGGTGAGCATCATGAATGCACAGCTGATGAGAAGTTGTGTGATGTGGGCACTTGTCTTCCGAAAGCGAAGTGGTGCGACGGGCAAGAGGACTGTTTCGATGGATCTGATGAGAAGGACTGCTCAGGGAGTGGGCCGAAAAGTTGGTTTAGAGATTTAGATCGTAGCCATTTAGATTGTTCGGGATTGTTTTTATTGTTGTTGTTATTTATTCTTATCATTTACTATTGTTATTCTTTATTAATTATTGCTGTTGTCGTTATTTATTCTTATGATTTATTATTGTTATTCTTTATTAATAATTGTTGTTAGTATTGTCGTATTGTTTTCAGAAGAAGAATGTGGAATAAACGAACACAAATGCGAAGGAACACCACTTCAGTGTATTCCTTATGATAAGTTATGTGTTGAGGGTGAGGCGAATAACGATTGCGCGAAGACTGTCTGTAATAAGCAACTGAGTTAGTTTTGATTGTTCTCGTTGTTTCATTATTAATATTTTGATGGTTATTATTATTATTATTTTGATGGTTATTAATATTCTGATTGTTATTATTATTATTATTTTGATGGTTATAATTATTATTACTATTATTGTTATTACTATTATCGGTATTTTTATTAAAATTATAATTATTTGCATTATTTTCATTGATATTATCATTGTTATTAGTGCTATTTACATTGTTTTTTGAAGTATTATTGTTATAATTATTGTGACTTATCTGTTCAGAGCTTTGCGATGAAAAGCCGGGAGGATACTGCCAGTGTCGTGTGACGAGTGTGAATGGGACATTCTGCTATTGTCCGCAAGGTTTTCGATTAGAGG